GACATCTCTACAAAGCAATTTGTCATTTTTACCCTTGTTTTGGCAAAAGCATTAAGTTATTTCCAAACATTGGAAATTTCTCCACTTTTCTTATGGTGTTTAATCTGTATTATGCAAGCCAAGAACCAGTGACTAAGGCTGCTTGAAACAGAGCCTAAACATCACATCCACCCACTATTTAACTGCAAACTCAGTGTGAGAGATTTCCAGACAATATTTACTCAGGAAACACTGTAATCATTTGTGGAGGAGAGCAACTTCTATAAACAAAACAAGTAGAATTTCAATATTTGGCGCGACTAGCAGCCAGTAGTTCACATTCTTAGTCATCAGCCTTTGTGGATAATATGCCTTCAGCAGTCTCTTGTTTTGCATTGTCTTTTGCTTAATATTTTCTTCTTTGCAGCGTATATTTTTGGCACAGATGATTGTGTGGCTGGTGATGCTCTCTGTACTTCAGGAAGATGGATTCCAGTACCTTGTGTCCTTTGCCAACTAAGGAACTTCTTGGACAGTCAGGACGTATAAATCCAGTTTGGTAGAATTCATAAAAAGACAGAGGACTCCAGTACAGTTGGTCCATTTCTGGGCTTTCCTTTGGTGACAAAATATGTTACATCTGTGGCTCACTATGGACAGGATTTATGCATGATCTCATGTTGCATTAATGGCCTAATATTGTTTAGTTAATAATTTAGCAAGACTTACTGGCCCTTAAGGAAACCTTTGGAGGGGTGGTCCAAAGGCACTGGATGTGGGGAGAAGAGGAATCAATAACCATCAGACTTTATTTGGGTATTAGAAGTGTTGGTCAGAGCAGTCAATTATGGAATGAGGTACTTCTGTCCAAAACATCATTTGTCATTGCCCTTTTATTATGCTTTCCAGATTAGTGAGCTTGGGCCACAGGCAGAAGGGCCAACCAAGCACAGATCATAGCAGATGTGCAGTTTTTACATATGAGCAATGTAACTAAAACTGAAAAAGTAAGAAAAGAGGCTTCAGTAGAATTAAGGGAATGGGCAGATGGGCACTGACCAATGCTACCAAGACTTTTCAGCCATGTGGAATTAGGAGACAGGCATGCAGATCAGCTTCCTGCAGTCAAACATTAGCCCCTTAATCCTGCACTTTTACATAAGTGTTCCTTTACTGTGCTGGTGGTAGTATCAGCAGTGTTAGTTTTCATTCCTCAAATCCCAGACCACTGGGGCTGGAATTCATATTGTTATGAGACTTGTTTGCCTTTTTGATGGTATGCCAGGGGTCAGAACTAATCTTGTAGTTTGTGCTTGCAGGAGACATCAGAAAGACTTCCCTTCCCATTCAGTAGGGGACCTATACTTTCCTCACTCTTCCTCTTATATCTAACATAATGTAGGCTCAAAAGGTGTATTCATTCTGAGCTTCCAGGCTGAATGCTTTATTATAGCACAGAAGAATAATCACGTTATGGAATTAGTTTGTTTTTTTATACTTGTTAAGGGCTGAGGACCAGCCTTCTGATGTCCTGGCTATTCCCCTCACTAAAAATGATCTTGGGGCTTGCACTGGATTAGATGTGAATTAGGATTCAGAGGGATGTGAGATCAATTCAGCAGTTAGACACACACAGATTGGTTCAGAAATGTTTGAGAAGCAAATTTGGTAGGGAGATACCAAGCCAGCCTGTGTGAACAGGGCCCAGAAGAACATGAATTATGAGTTTGCCAGGGTAATTTTGCAGGCAAATTCCTGGATGGTTACAAACAAGGACAGTGTATCCTCCTTGTGTCACACTCCACTTAGTTTGTGTGCCACAGAGAGAGTGTAACGACTTCAACAAGTAAGGAAACAAGCAGTAGGAAGAGGCAAACTCTTAATGTCTTGATTCCATTCACACGTTCTGAGAGGCTAGTCACCAGCCACAAGGGAGAAAAATGTTAAGCGTAGCACAGCGACAGAAAGCAGAGCAGAGGATCTAGTAAACAGGGCTCATTTTTGAAAGGATGTGCAAGAGGAACTAGTCTAATGCACACTTCAAAGATGTGCAAGAGGAACTAGTGTGATTTTTAAAACCCAGAGTTCAGAAAGGATAATGAACACTACATAATACTATTAACTGTATATGACCTCATACCTTCTATTCCAGGACCTTAAAAGTACTTTGCAGATATGATTGCACTGATCTCACAACATTTCTGTGATGTGGAACTAACCCAATATTACACAGGAGGAAACTGAGGCCAGATTGTGATAACCTCGGGTAGGAGGAAAATGAGGGGAGCTTCCACAAGTGGGTAGAGCTTTGGGTGACCTCCTGCACACTAATGTGAAAGCCAATTGGAAGTGCACTGGACATTGGACACTACTCTTTGGAATAAAAGGGCAGCTGAAAGATATGTTGTGACCCTTGGGGCAAAGTCATATAGAACCAATAATTAACTTCCATTTTACAATGAAAGGGTAACAGTGATGGAGACCAAATGCCTTTTTATTTCAATGGTCTGTTTCTGCAGCAGTGTTGAAAACAGAGGATGTGACTGGAGTTGTTTGTTTGTTTGTTTTTTTTCCCCCTTTAAAGTTTTGTTTGTTTCCTTTTTGGTTTCATCAATCCTTAAACTTAACCTTAGTTTTGGTCCCATCCCCTGTGGGTCAGGTTCTGCCATCAGATACATGGGTACAACTTCCACTAACTGCATGGGTCTGAGTCACAAAGTAGGCACTTAAAATACACACTTGTCTAACTTATGGGTGCCTGTAGACATGCAGGGATGCTGCTCCGATGCACTGTAGTTACAGCGCATCAGAGCAGACTTGATTAATCACGTCTGCTGGTGTGTGTCAATTAGTGCACTCCAGCAGCCTTTGCACCTCATGTATTCAGAGTCCCTGTGCATCAATATGGTGGTGGGGACACATTAACTAAAGATCATTGAACAAGCTTTAGTTAAACCTCCTCCACCACCATTTTGAAGTGCAGAATGCTGAGTACATGAGATGCTATGGGTGCTTTAATTAGAAAAGCCCTGACAGCTGCTCTAATTAAAGCACCCCCTGCCCCCAGAGCACATGCATTTGATTTGGGTACATGCAAGTTGATAAGATTTGAAAGGCTGGAGAGATTTATTGGTAACAGAAAAATTCCAGCTGCTTTAGAACACAGTTTTTCAGGCGTGCTCATAGGGATTTGGGGGAACATTTGTTCACCAGAGCACCCCAAGGGATGAGAAATTTGGATGCTTATCTTGCTGGGATCCTATGACCCCAGCTGACTTCCTGCTCCTGGGGTAGGGGGCTGGACTCTAGGTCCCTTCTAGCGCTAATGTCTATGAAGTCTATGAAATATGTATTTACTCTTATTTCTCTAGTAGATTAAGTGGGATGAGAAGATTTAAAAGGAAGGAATGAGTAGCAAATCATACAGACTTGCTCACTGAGGTATTCCTGGCAAGATACTTGAAACTATTAGCTGAGAACGCTTGGCGCAGTCCCAGGCCAACCATCACAAATGCCAGCAATACCAAAAGAAAAATGTCAAGCAGCTGGTGAATCTTTATTGCCCCTATTTATCAAAATCTGCAAATTAGGCAGCCTTTCCATGTCATGTAAATAAATGAACCAGATAACACATTGTTACCCTGGAAGAACAGTATGTGATACCAAGGGTGCAGCACTTTGGGAATTAGGGGCATAGAAGGTATGGATGTAGGGTTGTGGGGAGAGAAAGAAATTGCTTTTTAGCACATTAGTTTTCTGTTATATTAAAGAACAATTGGCAAAGCTGAATATTTCAGTATTTGTAACACTTATCATGCTATTGTTCCAATTACTGCCAAAGCCTCTCTTTCATTTTTATTGTACATCAGTCAAAAAGATAATAGCATACACCACCTGGAATCCTATTTGTTTTCAGTTCACAAATACATATTACAGAACATATCACTTCACAGTCTTAAACTTTCTCAGTTATAATTTTGGGGATGGGCACTTATGCATTCTGTGCTATTTGTGTTAAGAATAAGGGCATGGGCATTTGGGAAAGGTTACCTGGTTAAATGAGTGAAGTCCAGAAGTAAGAGCCAGAGTTCAAGGTTAGCAGGGCCAAGAACAAGTGTTAGTCTTCGGCCAGACCCCTTGCTGCTGTCTGGAGCTTGCTTTTAAAAGCAGGAGCATGTGGGGTTTGTTTTCCTGCAACCTCAGGGGATTCATGCCCTGATTGCTCAGTTATGACTGGCTAGGTCCAGGGCCCTATCTGAGCTCATTACAGTCTGTCCCAAAATTACCCCATGCCCAAAACAAGGGCAGTTTTTTCCCAGAATGAAACGGGGCTAAATTATTATGAGGCACAGTAGAGATGCACCTTATAGATTAACTGAATCAGAGCAAGGGCCTACTTCAACAAATTAGTTTGGTTTAGCTGTCACTTACTTTAGGGTAATTATAAACACAGGGACAATTGTCATGGTGCCACTGAGGGTTGATATGTCCCTGCCATCTATTAACTGCAGGCACATGGCGTAATTGCTGGGTGAGGAGAACTAAGACCTCCATGCAGCTCCCAGCTCCAGTGTGCTGCAGTCTCTAGGTTGAAAGCTGACTAGCCGTGTTAGTTTGAAGTCAGGCAGATGGCAGAGCAGGTGCACTAAGTTTAGACTGGCCTGGGTTAACTTGATCTGAAATGAGTTAACCTGGCCTAATGAATATTTGAGTGCTTTTCAGCACAACCCTTAGACAGGGAAAGCCCAGCCATTCGCCACAGCCCCCTGTAGACCAACCAGCCCCCACCCTGCAGACCCGCTGCTCCCCATTGCACCTCTCAGCCCCTTCCAGAGGCTTGCCAGCTCTCCCCTCGCCCTCAGCTTACTTATCTCCAGCTGCCCTGCCCATGGCAGAACCTGGCTTAAGTGTAGATGGCGCAAAGGAAGCTACCTAACCCGAGTCAAGTGATGTTCACATTTGTCCACACCCATAGAGCCTAATTGGTTCAGAGAGGTGTGAGCTTTCATAGGCAGCAGCCTACATCTGGTGAAGCCTTGCCAGTCTCTAAGTTGGGAATTTCTGACTGTAGGAAAAGGTGTCTAGGGGATGTGTTTTACTTTCTTCTTTCCCTTCACCCAAACTGTACATTTTCAAAGCTTTTTATATCTTTGGAAAAGTTCCTGCAAAGATATAAAATTTTGTTATTCCTTTCTCACAGATGGAGATGTTTGATAAGCTCTGGTATTAAAAGAGGTAAAAATGTCAAAGGAAAAAGGGTAAGTTAGAGGGGAAGAAAGCAAACCTTGGACATGGTTCATTCTGTTGACTTCAGTGCTAAGGAGAGAGGAGAAAAGGAGACAAATGGTGGCAACATTGCTGCAGTCTTGAAAATCTTCAGTTTTCTCAGACTTGAAATTCAACACATTTTAAATCACTATTAAGATTTTATGTTTTGTTTCATTTAGAAGCTTCTCGTTGAAGAATTTCATCCAGTATTCTTGCCAAACACCTTTTTTTGGCCCCATACAATTTTTGGTCTTGATCAGCTCTAGCTCAGTGTAGGGGGTTTAAGATGTAGGGGCAAATGAGCCTAATGCATTTGTGAGTGATTGCAGGTGGCCAGCCCCAAAGCTTTGTGTCATCTAGGAGATGACTCATCTAAACTAAGCCAGAAAAGGAAACGGAAGAGCACTCAGCGAGAGAAGATTATGATAACATATGCCAGTAACAAGCTGTCCCGTGCTTCTGGAATGTGTTTTGACACTGGAGTTATTACTTTAATAACCAAAGCCCAAAGCAAATCATACTGAAGATGCATCTGAAAGGCCAGGAAGGAATCTGCATTTTTCTACTATGTACTCTCTCTATTTGCAAGTATATATTAAAAGCAGGTCATTAATAATCATCTTTGCTTCAGCCATCACAAGGAAAGCGATTTCAGTAAATGAAACTAGAATTCAGAGACATTTATTTGAAGCTTTGTTTCCCAAAACAGTACTTGACTTTATTCCTTTGTGTACTATGGGACTCTGTTCATTGAGACCCTTGGTTTATAAGCCGGGTTATATTGGCCACATTTTTTTTTAAAAGGAAAATAAATCCTGAAAGAAAATGCAAGCTTCTAGGTATGCATTGCAGCATGTGCAGACATATTAACAGGATGCTTTTTACATATATTGGCTTACATAAATGACAGCTTTGCAAGTTCATATGTTTGAATATAACTTTAACCTCTTGCATTTAAATATTTGGTGCAGTTATATTTAAAACTGAAAATATGTGGTTGCTTCCTTGGCTACAGGCAAGAAGAGGACAGCATAAATATGGTCTGGGGTGCAGAGGTGGTATTAATCTTCCCTTTGGCTTGCAAGGAGGCACTGTGTGTTTATGAGATCTCCCTGCACTGGGCTTCAGAAGCCTGAAGGCTGTTCTGGTTTATATGTACTACTCGGAGCATCAAGAAGCCAAGCTTCAGCTAAGGATTAGTTCACACTAAGGGCTGCTGTCCGGAAGCTATTTCCTTTTAGTCATGCTCCCCATGCTGGCTGCACATTGTTAGTATGGATAAACCTTCTGGGGCAGGATGGGCTAGTTCAAAGGCCAGAATTAGTCAGCAGTATCATGCAAAACAAATGCAGTGTGCTGCTGGATCCATCTTGCAATTCATTATATTAATTCTTAGCGGGAAATGGATTAACTTGGCAACATATGTTGTAAATGGCACACAGTTGGAGTCAGAATAGCAATTCATATTAAAGATACGCTTAATACATATTTTGCTCTTTATGTATAATGCACATGCTTTAGAATGTATTTTTCATGTAGCTGTATGTATATTTGTAGTTTTTAAGACCATCTGTCTTTGGTTTGTTTTTTTTTTTTTTTAAATGAGCTTCATGTGACATTATGTTCTTGTGTGGGCAGATTTATAAGGGGGAGCTGGCACATTGATGGCTCTCAAGTTATCTTCTTTACCTGTTTTTGGCCTGGTTTTTTTTTCCTGTTACCCTGAGCTTTCTCCCCTATGATACTTCCGGGCTAGGGACAGACATTACACATAAACTGGTATAAGTGATCAGATGGTAGACTAAGCCTGTAACTGAACAGAGGTTCAGTGTGCATAGGCTGGTTTAAAAATGGTAGAACCCAGTCTAAGGTAGACCTAATGGATGTATTATCAGATTTAATTAGTTTAGGTTAGACCAGTCTATCAAACTTCTGCACCAGATCCCCTTCTGACTCAACTTAGGTCACAGTCCCCCAGCATCCCTGGAGCCCTTGTGGCTCCCTAGCTAATTCCTCCCTTGCAGAACAGGTGGGCTAGCCTTGGTCTGTGTTTTTCTGCTCTAGTTGAGCACCGGGCCAGCCTTGCCCCTGGGCTGTCATAGAGCTGAGGCAGCAAAGCCTCTGCTCCCCAGCCTTGTGTCCTGTCTGCTCCTATCAGCTGGTTTGTATAACAGTGAGGGGGAAGAGAGGGAAAGAGGAGCCCTCCTGCCCTAGCCTCAGCTTCCCCCAGAGCTGGGGTCTGCACAGCTGGAGGGGGCAGCGTGGCAGGGGATTTCCTTCCTGCTGCCTGGTTCGGCTGGCAAATGGGGTTGCTCACCCTAGTCTCACCCTGGACCCTGCACCAGGTGCCACCTCTCAGCAGTTGGGGAAGTGGGTGCAGAGCAAACATGGAGGTTTCCTTTGCAGTCCTGGGGCTGTGGGAGGGATGGGGCAGGGTGGTACGTGGTGGGACTGGAGTGAGTGATCCTGCTGGCCAGTTGAGCCAGGAAGCCTTCCTATTCACTCCTCTCTACCCCTGACTTGCTTTGGGCTGCCTGCTGGCTGAGCCGGGAGCTGTGACTGGGCAGAGGAGCTGTGGTCTGATGGAGCCAAAGCCCCTGTTCCCCTGACATTGCTCCGAGGGAACCAGTCATTCTGTCTGTGGAGCTCCCTCTCCCTGTGCTGCTGCCAGGTGTGCTGTGGTGACCTGCTCTGGAAGCCAAGGGCTGGGCAAGGGGGACAATCTGCAGTGACAGCAGAGGGTGGGGCCATGTGCCTGACATCAGGGATGGCCTAACTTGGCTGCCCTGGGCAATCTCTGGCATGCTGGGAGCCATGTGGAAGCACCCCTTTTCCCCACCCCGTGCCTTCTGGCCTTGGCCAGTGCAGACATTTTCCTGCTTCCCCCTGCCGAAGGGCAAACATGTTCCGTATAGTCCCAGCTCAATCTATGCAGCCTAGAGAAACTCATGTAAGATTGGCTCGATTCTGCTTCGGGCTTCTTGAATGCTTGTACTTGGCCCCAAGGTCCAGTTGCGTGCAATGAGATAGACAGCCTGCCTAGGGAAGCCTTTTTGGGTGAACTGAGTATTTTAAGTGCCAGATTGCAGGTCTTGCAAACTTATTTTTAAATGATCTGCTATCCCAAAGGGGCTGGGGTTAGGGGCAGAGCTCCCAGTGATGCTGAATCTGAGCATTTTTAAGCATATATCAACAGTAGCATAACTAGGGTGGGCCAAATAAGGCATCAGCCTTGAGTGATGATTTAGAGAGTACCAGCACTTGACATTCCTTCCCTCTCCCTACTCTCCTTTCCAATCTCCAGCTCTTGATAACGTCTTTGCCATGGGGTGAGAGGGGAAAGCTGCTGGTTGTGGCTCTATGCATCAGTCATTTAAGTAATACTCACCCTCTGAAATTCCCAAAGCCTGTTAGGAGCATGAATGGGTTAAACCATGGAGTCCTCCAGTGAATTAGGAATGAGGAATATTACTGGCCCCATTCTGCAGGAAACTCGTGGCACAGAGAAATAATTTGTTTGCCAAAGGTCATGTAACAAATCCATTTCAAAGTGGAAACGAAACCCTACAGCTTCTCATCCCCACGTGTTTTTCTGAGCACTAGAGCATGGTGCATCCCCGTAGGTTACAGAATACCATTATGCATGTTCATGTACAGCTCTGAACAGTCCTCCTGGTTTCTGTGCATGGTGTTATGTCTGCCCACCGTGGAGCATTACAAGCCTTGAGCACTCCTTGCTGCCATCGGTCACAGTAACAGAGAACTCCATGTTAAATCTGCAGCATCTAAACTTCACCCCATAAACACCCACTGAGCTATTTCAGCTGATGCTGAGTGAGTGTTAGCTGAGCAAAGGAAAAAAGGCACTGAGGGACTTTCAACCTGAGCCAGTAAGGTGACATCCAGTGTGATAGAGAGACTGAAATGCAATCAAGCAGAATGAGGCTGACATGAAGCTGAAGCTGGCCTCAGCAGGATTATTTTTCAGCGTTTAACCACAGAGCCACATTATAAAAAAGGAAGTTAAACAGAAACAATGAAAACAGAGAGAAACACATTCAAAACCAGAGTTGATGAACAGGCAGAAACCATTTGCTTCCCTGCTATCATTCAGCACGGTGCACAAAAACTCAGAAGAACAAGGCCAGCACTTGAAACTTTATGCAGCTCCCATTCTCCTTTAGTGCTGCCTCTTTCCCCTGCTCCCTCCCCTTCACTGTGCATCTCTCCTGCCCCACTCCTAAACCAGGTCTTGTGTCCTTGAGCACCAGGTACCTTGGCCTTTCCTGCCACCTCTTCCCTTCTTACTTCAGCCTCTTGTCCCAGCTCTTTGCTTCATTCTGTCCCTTCCCACTCCTCCTTTTTCTGTTGGGCCTGGTCTTCCCTGGAGCAAGTGTCTGAATTTTAATGCTTGACACGTGGCATGCACAAAGGGGACAGCATTCAGGACACATTTGTAGGGGGGTCACAGAGCATGGAGCATTGAGGGCTAATCAGTAAATTTGTAAATGTTTTTAAAATGTCACAAAAAGAGTGGATTGCTGCTTTGAAGTGTGAAAGCCTGTCTGGTGAGCAATGTTCTCAACAGCATGCATTGCCCTCAGGCACTCCTACATCCTTTGTCCTTGCCTACTGACATACAGCTGGGAGACAGGCAGCTCCTTTCAGCAGCAGTTCTTAGCAAAGAACTGCAAACAAAAGAAATATGCATTAAAAGGATTCGATGAGGGACACATCTGACAGTCTGCAGTTATAAATAACTGTGCTGTTGTGGGATCTGCCATCTCCATGAACCGCTCTTGGATGAAATTCATCACTGTGCACAGAACCAGTGCAAGGCTTAAGTGAGCCACAGGTCTTGCCTCTCTGTAGGGGTATACTTTACTCAAAGATGTTAAGACCATTTTAAGTGTTTCCTTTTAGGGTTATTTTAAAGTATAGGTACTTGTCAACTACAGTGGAAGAAAAGACAATCACAAGGTTTAGAGCTCAACCACTCAAAACTGTGTTCCTAAGTAGCTTCAAATGCCTTTGCAGATATGTCTGGACGTTATGAGAAATCAGGGGTCCCTGGCAGGAGATAGCACGAGACGTTTTAGAAGAAGGAAGTATGGTCTAGTGCAGAGGCTCTCAAACTTCGCAGATTCAGGGCATCCCTCCGTCACTCTTGGATTTGGCAGCAGTCCAGTTGCGAACCACTGTTGTGCTGCCTCAGCTTACTTCAGTGCTTCCCAACCAGGCAACTGCTACTGCCCCTGCTGCAGCCAGGTGGACCTGCTCTGCATCCCACCTGAACAGCCAGATTGGGAAATGTCTGCAGCAGGAGTGCCTGGGTCTGCTGCCGCCCTTCCTAGTTCAGTCTCCCCATGGTCTTGCTGGAAACAGAGGCATATCGGACAGTTTCTGCACCTACCCCTCACAGCTCTGTTTCTAGAAGATGCCACAAAGGGTCAAACTGGGAAGGGCTGTGGCAAGACTGAGCACTCCTGCTTGCTTAAACCCCAATACAGACAGAAGTGCCTGCTTCTGCCACAGCTGCTTCCCA